TTTTCCTGGCCACTTCAAGGCCCTCCTGGGTGCTCTGGAATTTGTCCTGCGGCAAGAACTCTGTGTGTGCCTCGTCCTCCTGCTTGGACGTGTGCTCTAGGCTATTGATGCTCTGTGTCCTGGCACCCCTGTTTCCAGACTCCCCTGGGGAATGGAGCAGGAATTGCCACTGAGGCAGGAGCTGGAGGGACTGACTCCTCCCTTCCTCTCTTCCATGACCTCCTCACCCACGACCATTAGATAGAACCAGGGGATCAGGACAACAGGCCAAACTCATCCAGTTTCCCTAGGGTTTAGGGCTTTTGGAGTTAAAAATGCCTTTACTGAGTTTCTGCCACAGGAACAGACACAAGCCCTGCCCACCTGTGGCCTGACCCAGCATTTCAGAGCCAACTGCAGGCAGCACTTCTGTGTCCGATGGCTCCCTGTGGCCATAGAGTCTGCCCTGGGCATTCATATGTGGCTGGAAACGCCAACACACAGCTGCTCCCAGAGGCAGCCCCGATGCCGGCAGCTCCCTCGCCCCGGGATGCATGTTCTACACAATCTCCTGGTGTCCCCTGGTGGGATTAAGTTCCAGTCACCCACAGTGGGGACTTGCTGGACATTTGTAGCTTCCTTCTCATCCATCTTTCTCATTTCCCTATGAGTATTTCCTGGGATCACCTCCCAGATAAAATACTTGGATCAGAATCCTTTTCTCAGGAATCCACCCCGAGACAGCATCCCTTGCTAGAGGCGATGCATGGAGACTGCTGAGCTGATGGATGGGGGAAGAGACAAGGGGTAGGAGGAAGACAGGGTGGGGGAGGAATTGGTAGTTAATAGTTCAAAATATTATGGCATATCATTGAAAACTGAAATAAATGGAGCTCTTATTCGGTGCTGGGCACAGCACTTGGTGTTTTCACATAATTTATTTCATCTGATCCTCTTGGTGGCTCTGCCCCAATGCCACTATTCTTAGAGGCAAGGAAACAGTCTCAGGGCCACCCACTAGCAAGATGGTTAAGCCGAGAAGGAACTCAAGCCTACTGATCTCCTGGGGAGGTTTCTGAAATTCTCAGCTAGTAGAAAGGTTGCCATGTCTTGAGATAATTCTTTATCTTCCATTCCTATTAGCTCTCATCCACTTTGGTAGCCACCTACTAATCTCTAAAGGTTCCTGCCTTTCCATCTCTCCTTAAAAAATGATCATGTTTGTTTGGAAGCCAGGGGCTCTTGCAGATGGCGTGCTGCAGTGAGATTCATAATGAGACCGAGATTTAGGAGAGGGACAGAGTGTGCTTGCAGTGGTCGTTTGGGTCCTCCCTTCTGCTCATGGTGTGCAGGTAAATGTTGAAGCCAGTTTCAGAATGAAAAAAAAAAAGGACTGACTTATAGCATTTGCCGATTCTTGTGGTGTCAGGGCTTCCACTGTGGCCAGTTCAAGCTGTGAGCATGATACCACTGACGCTGCGGTTGGGAAGAACCAGAGGTGTGACGTTCCATACCGCCAGGGTGCTCCAGACTGCCAGGGAGCGTTCCCACCACACCAGTACATTCGCATAAATGGCCCCAAGATCCCTGAGAATGGAAGGTGCCATAGAATCTTTAGCAGGTGGTGGGCTCTGAGTATGTAGGAGCTGGTATGAACTGGATGTTTCTTCCCTGCACCTCCACATTCACATGTAAAATCCTCACTCCCCATGTGGTGGTATTAGGAGGTGGGGGCTTTGCAAGGCGGTCAGGTCATGACGTGGAACCCTCTTGAATGGAACGAGCGCCTTCTAAAGGGGATCCCAGAGAGCTCCACTGGCTTCTCCATGATGTGAGGGGGCAGCAAGAAGATGGCCATCTGGGAAGCAGGACACAGGCCCTCACCAGGCACTGAACCTGTCTTGGACTTGAACTTGGACTTCCAGTCTCCAGAGCTGTGTGAAATAAATACTTGTCATTTAAGCCACCCAGTCTAGGGTGTATTTGTTATAGCAGCCCAAACTACTTTAAAAAATTGAGTACCTTTGCTCCACGAAGAAAATACCTTTTTAAAAAATTGAGGCAGTACTTTTTTAAAGTTAGGTAAAATTCACATAACATTAAATTGATCATTTAAACTATTTTAAAGTGTGCAATTCTATGGCATTTAGTACATTTATAGTTTTATGCAACTGCCACCTCTGTCTAGTTCCAAAACATTTTCATCACCCCTAAAGGAAACGCTATACCCAGTTAAAGCCTCATTCCCCCTCCTCCCCCTCCTCTGGCAATCACTATAATTCCAGGTTCTTCATACAAATGCAATCATAAAACATGTGATCTTTTGTGTTTGGTGTCTTTCACTTAGCATGACGTTTTCAAGGTGGATCCCTGTTTAGCATGTGCCAGCTCTTCATTGCTTCTAATGGCTGAATACGCATGACTCCACTGCACCGCATGTTGCCTTCTGTCTATCCACTCATTAGCTGGTGGACATTTGCATCATTTTCCTCTTTTGGCTATTCTGAATAAAGGTACTATGAACATGCATGTACAACTTTTTGTTTGAACACCTGCTTTCAATTCTCCTGGGTATGTACCTAGGAGTAGAGTTATTGGATCATATGGTGATACCATGTCTGACTTTTTGAGGAACTATCCAATTGTTTTTAAAGTGGCTGCATCATTTTATATCCCCACCAGCCATGTTTATAGGTTCTAAATTCTCCAAGTCCTCACCAACACTTGTTATTTGATTGCTTATTAGTTTGTTGTTATTATTTACTATTGCCATGGTTGGTGTGAAGTTCTAGCTCACTGTGGTTCTGATTTACATTTTCCTAACACTGATGGTATAAAGCATCTTTTTATATGCCTTTTGGGCATTTGGAGAAAAAAATCTATTCAAATCCTCTGCTCGTTTTTAAATTGGGTTTTTACAAAAAGTAACTGGGTGTGGTGGTACACGCCTGTAGTCCCAGCTATTTGGGCAGCTGAGGCACGAGAATCACTTGAACATGGGAGGTGGAGGTTGCAGTGAACTGAGATCATGCCATTGCACTCCAACTGGGCAACAGAGTGAGACTCTGCTTCAAAAAAAAAAAAATTGTGTTGTCTTTTGTTGTTGCATTGTAAGAGTTCTTTATATATGGATATATCATGCATATGATTTGCAAATATTTTCTCCCATTCTGTGGATCCTCTTTTCACTTTCTTGAAAGTGTCCTTCGATGAACCAAAGTTTTAAACTTTGAAGTCAAATTTATTTTTCTTTTGTTGTGTGTGCTTTTGGTGTCATGTTTAAAAATCCATTGCTAAATCCAAAGAAGTTATGGAGTTTTAATCCTTTGTCTTTTAAGAGTTTTATAATTTTAGAGTTTACATTTAGGTCTGTGTCAATTTTGAATTATCCAGTTGTCAATTTGTTTGTTTTTAACATCATTTATTTAATTGTAAGCTTACATAATGTATCTTTTAATTATGGCTGTGTTTCAAACCTGGCTTGCATAATTTTTGAAACTTTAACCATCTGCTCTCTTGAGCCAGCATGAATGGCATAACTGCTCAGTGTGCCACTACTCCTATTTTTAAAAATTTATTTATTTTTTGAGACAGAGTTTCACTCTGCCACCCAGGCTGGAGTGCAGTGGTGTGATCTTGGCTCACTGCAACCTCCACCTTGCTGGTTCAAATAATTTTCCTGCCTCAGCCTCCCGAGTAGCTGGGACTACAGGCTCCTGCCACCATGCCCGCTAATTTTTGTATTTTTAGTAGAGACAGGGTTTCACTGTGTTGGCTGGGCTGACCTCAAACTCCTGACTTCAGGTGATCCACCCGTCTTGGCCTCTCAAAGTGCTGGGATTACAGGTGTGAACCATCATGCCCAGCCGTGCCACTACTACGACACCCTGCTTAGAACACCTTGCTGCTAACGGCTGGAATGTGGATCGTTTCCTTGGGGAATGGAGCTGGGCATGGGCGAAGTGTGCTTATGGAGCTCCTTGGGGATGGGTGTCTGTGGAAAAAGGATCTTGGGACCCCTGATTCTCTAGTCATGGGCCGGTCCAGAATTTCCTTCTTACACCTGGTTTTTCCTTTGTGATATGAAGAGCACAGCTGGACCTGTCTTGCTCCCTCCCCTAGCATTTGCCAAGTGACTCCTCCTGGCTTAGAGGGAACCAGTTTTGTCCTAACTCAATCTGGAGGAGCTTTGGAAGCCCCACCTTTGAACAGAGACCTAAGTCTTGTCGTGAGGCTGAGGAAATGCTCCTTTCCTGGTGGTGTCACCGGATCAAATACAGGATGCCCAGCTACACTTGAATTTCAGATACGCAGTGCTCCATATTTCAGTATAAGCATGGCGCATGTGAGATTTGGGATATACTTATACCGAAAGTAATTCTCATGCAATACTCGGGACATACTCATACTAAAGAACTATGCATTGTTTATCAGATTTAACTGGGAGTCTTGGATTTTTTTTTGTTGTTGTTGCTAAATCTGGCAAGCCTTTCTTTGGGTTTTTTTCTTACTGTCTTCATCCTGCAGCAGAGACTCAGAACCTCACAGTGGGAAGGCCCTGATTTCCTGTCCATTTTGCAGATTTGGAAACTGAGTCCCAGAGAAGAAAAGGGATTTGCCCAGGTGCATGTAATCACAGTGAATTTGGAGGACCTTGACAAGCTGCATGACTTTTTCATGAAGTCAGCACATTTTCTGAGTGTCTCCTCTGCATGGGGCATTGTGCTGGTGCCCCGGGATGATGGTGATGAGCCTGCTGTGAACCTGTGTAGGTGGCATGTTAAGTAAGAGGCAGTATTCAGACAGATCTGGCTCCAAATCCCTCTTTGCTACATGTCAGCTTGCACAAGTTACCTCTGCTCTCTGAGCCTCAGCTTTCCCTTTTCTCACTTGGGATGAGAGGACATTCTTGGGGGATTGGCAGGCTTCCATGGGGTGAAGTGCTTGGTGCAGGTAGGGAAGATTGACTGCATGAGGAGAGAGGAGAGGTACCCGTGGTAAAGTGTGCTTGTTTTCTGCAGGTTGTCCAGTATCCTGGGCTGTCCAGATGATGTGGAATGGAGGCTCCAGAACCCACCTGCCCTGCCCCTCCTGCCAAGGACCAGCCAGCTCCCACTCCTGGCCCTCCAGGTGCCCCAGGTGGCCAGGCCTCACCTCACCTGACCCTGGGCCCTGTCCTCCTGCCGCCAGAGCAGGGCTTGGCTCCCACTGTGTTCCTAAAGGCCCTGCCCATCCCACTGTACCACACGGTGCCTCCTGGGGGCCTCCAGCCACGCGCCCCCCTCATGACAGGCAGCCTGGATGGAGGCACCGTGCCGTTCATCCTCAGCCCGGTGCTGCAGCCTGAAGGGCCTGGACCTGCCCAGGTGGGGAAGCCGGTGGCCCCAACGCTGACAGTGAACATTGTGGGCACTCTACCTGTCCTGTCGCCGGGCCTGGGGCCCGCGCTGGGTAGCCCAGGCAAGGTACGGAATGCTGGCAAGTACCTGTGCCCGCACTGCGGCCGTGACTGCCTGAAGCCCAGTGTTCTGGAGAAGCACATCCGCTCCCACACAGGTGAGAGGCCCTTCCCTTGCGCTACCTGCGGCATTGCCTTTAAGACCCAGAGCAATCTCTACAAGCACAGGCGGACGCAGACGCACCTTAACAACTCCCGGCTGTCCTCTGAGTCTGAGGGGCCTGGGGGCGGCCTCCTGGAGGAAGGGGACAAGGCCGGAGAGTCCCCCAGAGCAGACGGCAAGGGTGAGAACCAGAGCCAGGGGATGCGCAAAGGGGCCTCGGAGAGACCCCTTTCTCCGGTCGCCCATGTGCCCCTTGTTGCCAAGAACCTGGATGTGAAGACTGAGGCTGCTCCCTGTTCAGGGTCCGCATTTACCGACAGAGACGCTCCTTGGGACTGTGCCCCCACGGCGTCACCCGGGCTCCCCGCAGCCGGCACTCAGCCCTGGCGCAAGTTGCCGGAGCAGAAGTCCCCGACGGCCGGGAAGCCGTGTGCCCTGCAGCGGCAGCAGGCGACGGCCGTCGAGAAGCCCTGGGACGCCAAGGCCCCCGAGGGCCGGCTGCGAAAGTGTGAGAGCACAGACTCCGGGTATCTGTCGCGCTCTGACAGCGCAGAACAGCCGCCCGCTCCCTGCAGCCCCCTGCACAGCCTCTCGGAGCACAGTGCCGAGTCCGAGGGCGAAGGCGGCCTGGGTGCAGGGCCAGGGAGCGCGGGGCCCGAGCCCGGGGCGCGAGGAGCCGGCCTGGAGCTGGAGAAGAGGCGGCTGGAGGAGCGCATCTCGCGGCTCATCTCCCACAACCAGGCGGTGATGGACGACGCCCAGCTGGACAACGTGCGGCCCCGGAAGACCGGGCTGTCCAAACAGGGCAGCATCGACCTGCCCACGCCCTACACCTACAAGGACTCTTTCCACTTTGACATCCGTGCGCTGGAGCCGGGCCGCAGGAGGGCCCTGGGCCCTGCACGCTCCACCTGGACGCCCCCTGACAAGTCTCGGCCCCTCTTCTTCCACTCTATCCCCACTCAGCTCTCCACCACCGTGGAATGTGTCCCCGTCACCAGGAGCAACTCGCTGCCCTTCGTCGAGGGCTCCAGGACGTGGCTGGAGCCCCTGGAGCTCCGGGATCCCTGGCCAAGGACACAGAAGCCTCTGAGCCCCAGGCCGGGCCCAGCCCGCCTGGGTTGCCGCTCTGGGCTGAGCTCAGCTGACGTCCCCGGTGGGCACCCCCGGGCCCTGGTCAGACAGGCTGCAGTGGAGGACCTGCCAGGCACCCCCACTGGAGACGCCCCAGTGCCTGAAGAAGACAAGGAGGCAAAGAGAACTGCTGCACGGGAGGCCGCGGCCAGCAAGGGCAGGGCGGGTGGCAGGAAGTGCGGCCAGAGGAGGCTGAAGATGTTCTCCCAGGAGAAGTGGCAGGTGTACGGGGATGAGACATTCAAAAGGATCTACCAGAAAATGAAAGCTAGTCCCCATGGAGGCAAGAAAACCAGGGAGGTGGGAGTGGGCGGTGGGGCAGAATTGGGCCTTCCTCTGCAGAAAAAGGCAGCAGGGAGCTCGGACACAGTCCCCACCCAAGACAGGAGGACCCTTGTCCATGAGGACATATCCAAAGGGGTCACGCCAGAGCTTTGGGGAAATCCACCTGCCGTGGAGGCCTCTTTGGTGACTGAGCCCCCTAAGCATGGGAAGATAGTAGCCAGGACAGGAGATGGTAACCGACCCAGGGTGGAAGAGGCTGTGTCATCCCCTGCACCGGGTGGCAGAGACAGTCCCTGTTCAGGCAGTAGGAGCCCCCTGCTCTCTCCAAATGGGAGGCTGGAATTGGGGTGGCAGCTGCCCCCAGCACGTGGCTCCCTCAAAGGGGGTGACCTAGAGGCCCCCAGGCCAGTTTTGCCAGATCCCAAGCTGGAAGGAGGTGGGGGGAATGTTCAGGAGACCTGCCCGTGGGCCCAGACTGTCCTGAGATGGCCCAGCAGTGGCTCTGGAGGGGACAAGCTCCCCTCGGAGAGGAAGAAGCCGAAAGTGGAGGACCTGCACAGCCAGGAGCAACCAGAGCCTGTGGGTGCAGAGAGCCCACGTGGGCCCACGAAGGCTGCCTCTCTGCCATCCCAGAAGCAGGACGCTGAGCCTGGGGAGGTGCCAGGGGGCTCAAAGGAGAGTGCCCGGCCAGTGGGTGAGCCTCTGGAGTCCTCTGGAGCCTCCTTGGCTGCTGCTTCTGTTGCCCCGACGAGGGTTAGGCTGAGGGACAAGGCTCCCCCACCGCATCCTGCAGCCCCAGACCCTGGGGAGCAGCCCCTGCTGGCCACTCCACCTCTGGCTTCTAGAGTCCTCCCTGCCCTGGCAGACAATGCCTTTTCCCCGAAGTACCTCCTCAGTTTACCTCAGGCAGAGACCCCCTCACCACTGCCTGTTCCTGGGAGACCCAGGCACAGCCAGGACTCTCTCTGCAGCAGTGGGTGGCCTGAGGAACAGGCATCCTTTGTTGGGTCAGGACTGGGGACCCCTCTGCCTCTCAGCCCAGCCTCAGGCCCCTCCCCAGATGAGGTGCATAGCATCCTGGAGGACCCCAGCTGTTCCAGGCCATGGGATGGGAGAAAAGGGGCACAGTTGGGAGCAGACAAGGGAGACAGGATGGCTACTAGCAGGCCAGCAGCCAGGGAGTCGCATGTCTCAGCCTCCAGGGCTCCAAGGGAGACCACCTTCTCCCAGCCCACCCCAACGTGTGAGGCCCATTTTGTCCAGGACATGGAGGGTGACAGCCACTGTATCGGTCGCCTCTGCATGGGCAGCACTTTGGCAAGGGCTAGGCCCTCTGGGGATGTCCCAAATCCCTGGGTACCCAGCTGGGAGGTGGGGGAGCCTCCTGAGAATGCCCAGGAAGACCCTCCTTCAGAGTCCGTGGCAGGGCCTGACCCGTGTTCCTCCCTCCAGCTTGGCTCCTTCCTCACTGGCCTCACTTGGCCTCAGGGTGTGGCCTCAGGTTGGCCAGAGCTGTCCCTGTCTTCCCACTCAGGGACATCTCGGAGTCATGACTTCCACAGGCTCCATAGTCCCTTTCCCTCACTGAAGGCCGAGCCGCGGCTCACATGGTGTTGCTTGAGCCGCAGTGTCCCTCTGCCTGCGGAGCAGAAGGCAAAGGCGGCATCTGTGTACCTGGCGCTGCACTTTCCTGGCAGCGGCCTCCAGGATGAGGGTCCAGACGGCCCTCCTGGGAGCAATGGAGGATGGACCCGGACAAGCCCTGGAGGAGGAGGACCGGTGCAGACGTTCAAGGTAAAGCTGGGCTTTGCCCCCAGGGCCTGGGGTTGAGAGAGCATGTCATTAGCCCAAAGGACCTGTTGTGAGGGAGGGAAGTGTGAAGCCATCCCATGTAGCATCTACTGTTCACTATCTCTGCTTGCTTGTTCCTTGGGGAGGCTGGGGATGCCACATACACGGCAGGAAAGAATAAAGGCCAAGTGCAAACCGAAGCAGAGTGGTGGGAAACCAGAACTCCACAGGGAAGAGTGATGGTACTCGAGACCCTGGGTGAGGTGTTCTCCATAATCAAATGTAAAATTTCCCGCCGGGTGCAGTGGCTCACACCTGTAATCCCAGCACTTTGGGAGGCCGAGGCGAGTGGATCACGAGGTCAAGAGATCGAGACCATCCTGGTCAACAAGGTGAAACCCCGTCTCTACTAAACATACAAAAAATTAGCTGGGCATGGTGGCACGCGCCTGTAATCCAAGCTACTCAGGAGGCTGAGGCAGGAGAATTGCCTGAACCCAGGAGGTGGAGGTTGTGGTGAGCCGAGATCCTGCCATTGCACTCCAGCCTGGGTACCAAAAGCGAAACTCCGTCTCAAAAAAAAAAAAAAAATTTCCCTGAGCTTCCTGGTGACAGACGAAAAGTAAAATGAAACACTCCATCAGAGAGGCGGCTCTCCGGATCACTCTTAAAATTAGAAAGCAGGAGTCTTATTGAGAGATAGACTCCCAATAATTGAGAAAGTCATTACACTGGGGATTCTGGAGAAGGAATTACTGTTGATTGGCCTCAGACCTCCCTCTGAGGTTCCTGGGAGCAGAGATAAAAGGGGGAATGTGGTGGACGCTCACGGGTGTTCTCACTTGGTGATGAAATAACACATAGCTTCATCTTGAGACGGAGTTCACATACCTGGTTGTGATGACTGAGGCCTTAGTTCTGCTCTGGGGTAGCTTGAGCCACGGCCACTGAGGACGGTCCTGGAGGCTCAGCTCTAATTTAACCCTTGTGGACAGTGACAAAGGCCTGGAGACCAGAGCCTTGCAGGTTGTTCAGCTTTCCCTAGGTGGAACTCAGAGTTGTGGGGAGTGCTGTTTCATCTCAAGAGTAGCAGGTAAATCAGGAGGGCCCCAGAGGTGTGGGGCCTCCGGGAGAGGTGGGGTTAGGGAGAGTAAAGGAGCTGGTCACTGTGTTCTTTGGCCTCCAGTTGACACCGATGATGTAAGCTTTCCTCTGTGATCAAGCCCAAGTGGGTTTCAGGAGGTTCTGTCGAGGAGCGCTCTGACTTGCCTGGTACGCTCAGGCCACTTAGCAATGCAGTATTTCTGTTTGGATTTCTGAAGACAGGCATCCTGTCTGCAGAGAGAGAATGCTTCTGAGTTGTCCTTATCATGAGGACTTTGAGTAATGTGATGCCAGCGTGCTCGGTATTTTCAGCTCCCCTACCCAACAGTCCCAGGGGTGATGTCCCAGGACCAGGTGTCTGAGCCACAGCGGAAGAAAGGCCTGCCTCGTAGGAGGGCAAAGATGTCTCGTGGGAACAGCAAGCAGAGAAAACTGAGGATCAACCCTAAAAGGTAGGTTGAGTGGCCACCTCTGTCATTTCCACACGTACCCTCAGCTCACAGTTTTGCAAAACCTCAAGAAGAACTTAAGACTGAATTCAAAAGGTATCTGTGTGCTCCAGAGAAAGAGTTCCTGTTTCCTAGGGTTTAGAGTTTCGTGATTAAAGGACTGAATTTGTTTCCCATTAGTCCCCCTGCCCCTTACAACCCAGTGTCTGTGTGTTTTTCAGTGGCACCTTTCTAAGGCCAGGAATCCAGCAAATCTTTGAAATAATTGCATTGAAAACACATTCATTCAACTTAAGTCCTGAAGAGACAGTGTGTTAATTATTTACAGCTTTTATTGCTTTCTTAATTATGCAAGCAATGAATGTCCTTAGCAGAAAAATTAGACAATACAGGTGAGCAAAGAGAAGACAATAAAACATCGTAGTAATCTCACCACGCAGAGATAATCACCAAGAACATTCAGGAGTGTGCCCTTCCAGTCTTTTCTTTGCGGTATGTGCATGCTTGTGTCCACTGCTAACGAACGGGAGGACCTACGGATCTTCCTGCTGCTCAGTCATTGTGTCTTTCTTGGATTGTCTTTCTCCTTTGCTCAAAACTGGTCAGGCTGTCCATTGCATACAAGTTAAAAAGCAGATTCTGTAGCCAACCCCTGCCCTCTTTTTACCCTCATTTTCCCTGTGACCTCCTCCTCTCCTGCTCCCCCTCCACCCTAACCCCATTCTTTAATCCACATTCTAATCCCAGATCCCTGATGCATTCATGCTCCACACCTCAGCTCTCAGCATTCTCCCCCTAGACTCCTAGACTGTCAATCCTTTTTTTCTTTGGGATGGAGTCTCACTCTGTTGCCCAGGCTGGAGTGCAGTGGCACAATCTTGGCTCACTGTAACCTCTGCATTTGGGGTTTGAGCGATTTGCCTGCTTCAGCCTTCTGAGTAGCTGGGACTACAGGCATGGGCCACCACACCTGGCTATGTTCTTTTTTTGTTTGTTTGCTTGCATTTTCAGTAGAGATGGGGTTTTGCCATGTTGCCCAGGCTGGTCTCGAACTCTTGGCCTCAAGCCATCCTCTCACCTTGACCTCCCAAAGTGCTGGAATTATAGGTGTGAGCCACTGCACCCGGCCTGTCAGTAATTTATCCAAAGCCTGGATATTCTTCAAGGGGCAATCCAAATTCCTAACTCTCCCCTGTAGCTGCTCAGACCCTCAGTGGCTAGAGATGACCTCTTCTCTTCTGGATCCCCCTCCCACCTCTATTAATGGTCTGCCAGGACCATGTGTCTGGAGCTAGCATTATGGAGCACCTGCTGCACACCAGGCTTTCCCTAATCACTTTCTGGCATGGATTATTTCAGGCGATCCCACAAGGTACTGCCCACAATGTGGATCATATTATTAGCCCCATTTTTCTCATGAGGAAATGGTGACAGAGAGAGTTTAAATGATCTCCCTAAGGACCCAGATTTGAACCAGTCAGTCTCCTTCCATAGCCTGTGTGCCAACTGGTGGCTTGTCTTGGTGCACCCCAGCCTGTCCTGGGCACTCTGGTGGCCTGGCATTTTCTAGATTTTTCTTGCAGTGCCTGAGATTCTGCATTTCTGACACAGCCAGTGATGGTGCTGTCCTGACCCCCAGAGCAGGTTTGGAGGATTGAGGCTTTCCTTTTCAGCATCCCTTCTTTCTCATCACTCAGGGTCCTAAGACAGAAGCCCAACTCAAGGTAGTCTAAACAAAAGAAGACCTCCCTCCGGCTTGTGTAATCAGGGCCTCCAAGCCTCATCATCAGCCCTGGCCCAAATTTGGTGGTGTGGGAAGGATAGTCTTCCAAAGGAAAATTCAAATGCTGCTCTCGGGGAAAGGGGAACACATTACATTCAGATGGAGGAGCTGCATGTGGGTCACCGGGAACCAAGGGACGTTTGGCCTGTGGTTGTTGGTCCTCCCCAGTATCTCACCAACAAGGAGGAAGCACTCAATTACATCTGACTGGCAACTGATGAGCCTGAAGTCTCCAGGCATTGTCGGGAAGATGTGGGGAGGGGAAGAGGGTCCTTTTGTTGGTTCATGACTGTCTTTTGAGTTAATTCCAGCTTCAAGGCCTTTGTACCTGCTAGTCCCTGCACCTCCACCTGCACTCTCCCCGTCTTGCTCCTCACATGACTGGCTCCCCTGTCTCAGAAAAAAACATCAGGACCATGAAGGCATGGATGTCTTTGAGGGGAGATATTATTCTGCCTACCACAAACAGCTCCCACTTTCCCGAGACTTCAGCTTGACTAATTTGACAAATGTTTACCATGCACCTGCTATGCGCCTGGTGCCCACACCTAGAGGTGGCTGGGGAAACTTTCTTAATCCAGAATGAGGGTCCCAGGCCGGAGCCCCAGGAGGCTTGAGGATATCTCTCCAGGACATCTTACAAACTTACTAGCAGCTCTTGGGCCAAACACAGTGCATGTAAGAACCTTGTTAGGCCAAGTGTTCTAAAATTTTTGACACTTACCAGCCACATAATTAGAGGAAAAGATTTCTCACAAAAATCTGGATTTCTAACTTTTCTTGAAATATGGGAAGCTTTGAAGACACTGGCCCTGCCTCCTTGCATGGCAATAGCCGGCTGGAGATGAGCAGTGGCCACCAGTGAGAGCAGTGCTCTCCACTGTGCTCTCTAGTTTGCCTCTCCTAATGCCTTACCCTTGGCCAGCCTCTTTGAGTTATGCTATCTGCCTGGCCCCTATAGCATTTGAGTTTGCAAATTTTGGTCTCAATTGCGGGTCTTGTGAGAATAGACTACATCTCCAATCAATAAATCACAGCAAGAGTCCATAGATGGATACAGGAGGGAGCAGGGGCATTGCAGAACAAGGAGGGCTTTGAACAAGGACTTGAAGCTCTAACCAAGAACCACTGGCTGGGTGAAATGAGGAGGAAGCTGTTGAGCTTTTTATGTCCTCAAATATTTATTGGTCGATCATGATTCATTAATCATTTATCCTTTTGTTGGTTCATGACTGTCTTTTGAGTTAATTCCAGCTTCAAGGCCTTTGTACCTGCTAGTCCCTGCACCTCCACCTGCACTCTCCCCCTCTTGCTCCTCACATGACTGGCTCCCCTGTCTCAGAAAAAAACATCAGGACCATGAAGACATGGATGTCTTTGAGGGGAGATATTATTCTGCCTACCACACTATTATTCACCCACCCACACACATGTGTTTGTAGCTATTTATCCATCCATCTGCTTACCCACCCACCTATCTTCCATCCATCCATCCATTTGTCTATCAGTCATCTAACTCTTGTGTTCTCTCCTCAAGAAGGAAGACTACTTCTTGATTCATTTTCCCACTTTCACTTCAGTTGTCTTGATGTTCTACAGAAAATGAGATACTGTAGCAGAGATTGCTCTATAGTCCTTAGCTTACAGAGAATGATAAAGTTCATATATAAGAGTATTGGTTCTCTTCTAAGTAAAGTGGCATTGGGGGAATAGACTGCATATAAAGTATTACCTTATATGTTATATAACAATATGTAGAAAAGAAAAATTAAAAAGATAATTATGTTGTTTTATATATTTGGCACAAATTGTATCAATCTGTGTTTTTACTTTGCAAATCACCAATAATATATACTATGTTTTGTGTTTTTAAAGTACATATAAACGTATCATACTTTTATTATTCTTCAGTTTGATTTTTAAGGTCCACATTGTGTTTTTGAAGATCTCATCATGTCAGGACATACAGATCAAATTCATCCATTCTGATTGCTGTAGAGTGTCTCATCCATGAATGAGAGTTTGCCCTTCATTTATAAGCTTCCTGTGTTTGTGATTTTTAAAGTGATGAATATGATTTATAGGATTCTGTATATATCCTAGATTTGTATGTTTTATTTGCCTGTTATGTATACTGCAAATACATTTCCAAGTCTATTACTTGTCTTTTTTTTTTTTTTTTTTTTTCTGTTGCACAGACAGGCCTCGAATTCATAGCCCTACCTCCTCAAGAACCAGGACAACTGGCCTGAGCCACCTAGGCTCTATTACTTGTCTTTTTAAGCCCATTTATTAATATGTACCCACATAATTGCCCATCTCTTGTCTTTTCATTTGTTTCTTCATGTCACATCTTCTTTCTGGGATTATTTTCATCTGCCTAAATCATATTCTTTAGAATTTCCTTTAGAGAAGAAAATCATCTTAGCTTTTATTACTCTGGAAAGATATTTATTTCATCATTGTTGTTGAAAAATATGTTTTCTGGGTACACAGTTCCAGGTTGACAGTTATTTTCTCAGCACATCAAAGCTATTGTTACATTATCCTTCAGCTTCCATTTTGTGGTAAAGAAGCCAGCTGTTAGGCTACTTGTCTGTCTTTTGAAAGTCTTTTTGTCTCTGGCTACCTTTAAGATCTTCTTTTATCCTTTGGTGTTCCATAGTTTTACTTTGATGTTTATAATGTATGTTGTTTTTTATTTGTTCCATTAGGAATCCACTGGACTTTTTAAATTTGTGGATTAGTGTCTCTCTGTAAAACACTCTTAGCCATTATTCTTCAAATATTGCCCCTATCCTGTTTGATCTCCTTCCTTTCTGAAATACTGAAATAATATATATTAAGCCTTTTCTATCTTTTATGTCTCTAAATTTCTACTTTTAATAACTTTGTTCCTCTGTGCTATGATCTGGATGCTTTGTTCAAATCTGTCTTTAAAAGTTTACCAGTTTTTTAATCCACTGAGTTATTTTTTTGTAAAACTTTGTTAAAGTATAATTAAATTTTAATAAATCAAATAAATGCTGACATATGTATATACCTGTGAAACAAACAATATAACCAGGATCATGAGCATATCTGTGAAGCCCAAAAGTTTCCTCCTTTCCTTTTGCAATTCCTCCATTCTGCCCATCCTGAAGTCCTTCTATCCCCAGGTAACCACTGATGTGCTTTCTGTCACATAGGATAGTTTGCTTTTTCTAGAATTTTCTAGAAA